CTGCTGGCTGAGGGAACAGAGGATTCTCACCACTATTTCTTGGGCTTCTCTGTGCTACAGGGATCCTTACAGCTCTTACTGAAATGTGGCTCTTGTGTTGTGCACAACATTTACACCCACATGGTTATTCAGGCAGGGAGTGTGTCTTGAGGTCTGCATATCTTATGAAGATCTCATACTGAGAGCATGTGGGTGTGTGTTTATCACATAGGTACTGTGTGTCTGTGAGGTCAGATATGTATATATTATATAGTGAAACTGTATATACAGGATACCCTTTTTATTTACATTTGGTTACAATTTGAACACTTGTCGTAAATATTTCAGACACTGGAATAATTCAGGTCTATTCCCCTGTTGTCACAGTGTGCTTTGTGCTGGCCAGTGAGAGATTAAAATTTATTTCCATTGTTTAAGGGAAAATAATGAAGTGCATCTGAGTGGGCTCAGCTATGTCATGCGGGAAACGTTCGCCTTGGATTTTGGAGTCTCACTCCACCCAAATGTGCAATGATGAAATCAGTTGGCACACAAAAGCAACACATTTTGTGACAAGAATGCTTGAGAAGTAGGAGAGTACAGCATGACAAGAGCCTTTTGGAATGAATTAAACTTGTGTCAAGAAAGAAAGTATACTTTAAGCTAGCATAATCCTGCAGGGGGGCAAGGTTTCCCCTGCTATGTGCTGAGTGTGGTTTTATCAACAATTGGTGCTTGACATTCTCTTACCTAGGCTGTGACAACTGTATGTGTGACAATTTGACCAAATCCAGGGGCAGATTCTCAGTAGCTGGGCATGACTGTAGGTGTGTGGCACTGAGTGGAGTTAAGCTGATTTACACTAAGGGATGAAATCTGAAAGTTTCAATAAGTTGCATCTTCTTTCAGCAGTTAAAACAGGGTTTGTTTTTTTTCATCTGAAAGTTTCAATAAGTTGCATCTTCTTTGTTGTTTTTTTTTTCCTAGGAGTTTGTGGTGTAAAGGCACATATATTTCTGGATTTATTGGGTACTGTATGGTAGAGGGAAAACTAAATGGAATTATTAATGTATAGAGTTACTTTCTCTTAAGAATTCATGGGCCCAGCAACACAAGTCATGGATGCTCAGGTTTAAAAACTGCTGCTTGATTTGAGGTCCTTGGGCTCAGAGGATTTTCAAGAGGCACTAAGCATGCACAGGTCAAAAAGCAGACCTGGTATCATGTACTGTTTTCACAAAGTAGGAGTTTCCATTTTGTTCAGTCAATGGAGACCTGTATTTCCAGAGCAGATACATTTGCACGTCTGTGCAGTGCAGCAGATGGCTCTGGATCTGCATGTCTGTAGCAGAGGGCAAGTCACCGTGGTGCTCTGCAGCCTGCCCTCCTGGTTGGTGCATATAGACCTCTTTGCCATCAGCTATGCTGCAGTGCATCATAGGAAACCAAATTTAGGGCCATCTGCAGTAGCTGGTTCATTATACAGTGAGGACTTTATATGGCCCTTAGGATGCAACGTGAAATAGAATTCATGCATAGAATGAAGGCTGAGAGTATTTTCTTCCCTTCTTGCTAGGGAGTGAAACCTGCAGGACGTGATGCCATTTGACAAACAGAACAGTTTTAACAAAACTGAATCATTAATACTTAACAACTTGAATTTCCAAGCAAATTGTTTACCTGCCTCTTTTTCCTTCTCTTTTTCAAAACACCCAGGTTGTGCTATCCACAACAGTCAATGTTGATGGGCACGTGCTGGCAGTGTCTGACAACATGTTTGTTCACAACAACTCCAAGCATGGACGGAGAGCAAGGAGACTTGACCCCTCAGAAGGTAGGATATTTCTGTGAAGAACAGGACACGAATGCAAAAGCATCTTGCCCATTCTTCAATTTCTATTTGTTTGCAGGAGGGAAGGAGAGCTAAGGGGGAACTGCATAACCTCAGGGGGTTCGGAGAAAGAAGAGGCAGGAAAAGTGTCTACTGCATGCAAAATATGATCCTCTTAACATCTAAGGGGCTGGCTCCCCCTTCCCTCCCTCAGTTTATTAATTAGTTGGAGCTGCAAAGATGAAAACCACAGAAACACTAAGTATTATCTAAATTTCAGCCTTCTCGTTCAGCCGGGGTAGATTTGATTTCAGGCAAATTAGGCAACATGACATCTTAGTTAAACAGAACTGTTACAGCACAAGATGTGTATGAAAAAGTGTCACTAGTTCCCTTAAACAAACTATGTGCAAAGCATAACAATGCACAGAAGGAAGCTGACACTAATTGATTCTAGTTTGTTTGGCTAAGCAAGACTCATGGCCAGCTACAGGATGGGTTTTGGACTATATTAAAGCAATTACCAATACTTGTATCTGTTAAGCTTCAAAATGCTTGGCCCCTCCTCTCCCTCTTCCCACACATTCATTACCAGCACATTCCACCTCTCTCACAGACAGTTCTCCAAATTACTGGAAAATGCTATCAGTGTCTGCTCTGCCCTCCCCTGCAGCTAGTGAAAGTGAGAAGAGCTAGTGATGTTAGTAGAAAAGACAAGCAAGGATATTATTTCATTATAATGTTTTGCTGCCCCACTTCTTAACTGTGCCCTGTATCAACCTAAAAGAAGAATTAATGAACTGGAAGAAAATGATTGAATCAGTAAAGAATTCAGAGTGGTGTTAATTCTCCCCCAGCGGGCAGTGAAATGGTAGAAGGAAAATCCCAGGATTCCTAGCCTAGGAAGCCATCCAGTTTTTCCTTGACTGATTGGATGTGATTGACTGGCTGTTCAAAGGAGTCTCATGTTTTTGGAGCACTGCCAAAGTTCCCCTCCACCTCTGACCCTGTCAACATTGGGAATGGAGTGATGGATTGACTTTGGTTATGGCCTGGAAACCATATTGGGTTCCTGATGGGATGTATAGTCCAGAGGCCTTGAACATATGGAAGAGAGAAGAAAAAAAAATCTACTCTGTAAAATCCAGAAAATTATTAGAAATTGTGTCCTGATAGGAATTGGAAGAAACATTTGATAGTCCCATATCCTTTCTACCTATTGATAAACTTAATAAATCTTAATCTCCCTCTCTTTCCACAGGGTTTAGCTTTTGTGTGAGCACATGCTAATGAGTGGGGGCTTTTTTAAACAGCCTCTGCACAATCACTTAAGCATTTCATTTTTACACCCACTGCAGTTGGCCTGTTAGGCTTTAACGACACGATGTTAAGTGCTGGTAATGAATAGGCAAGTAATTAACACTAGCAGGGCAGAAAACATACTTTTACTTATTTATTTATTACTGGGCTTCATGGAATGGTAAAGCAGCCTTCATGGGTGAATGGTTGGAGGGGACTTGTCCTAGGCCTTTGTCAGCAGCAGGGAATTCTTGTGAGCTGTGAAGCAGAAACTCCAGTGGGCAGGGGAAGCTGCTCAAAGCTACAGTTTGCATCAGGATGACTTAGAACTGCTCAGTGTGCACAGAACCTGCTGCAAGGGTTTGCACCCAGTGTAGCAAAATCTGAAAGCTGGCTGAGGGCAAGTAAAAAACACCACCATAACCTGAAGTTGTGCTGTGTGCTTTGTTTTGTTTAGCCACACCGTGCATCAAAGCAATCAGCCCGAGTGAAGGCTGGACCACAGGGGGAGCCATGGTGATCATTATTGGAGACAACTTCTTTGATGGGCTGCAAGTTGTCTTTGGAACCATGCTTGTATGGAGTGAGGTAGGTAGAGGTGCCTCCCTCTTGCTACACTGAAGAAACACTCATTTTCTGAGGAAAGTGTGGAGAAAACAGTGTTAATTCCTGTTCCAACAGTGGTACAAAAATGGTGGTGGGTAAGGCAGGCCACACAAACCTGTGTGAGGGAAATTCAGGGAACAGGTTTCAGCTGTGGAGCTTTTGGCTGTGGGATAGTCTTGAGGCCAACTGCTCAGTGTGCAGAATGGAACTGAACCATTCTGTGTGTTTGGAGACAGATAAAGGCAAAGGAGTAAAGAAAGGGTTAGATTTTGGGAAGGAGGAAGAACTCCCTCTGGGTCCAGAAATAAGCCAGTAATTAACCAACAGGCATAAGCAGTATAATTTTCCTTACCACAATTTATCTTAAAATGTGTCTTTCTCTCCTGGAGGCAAGAAACTACACCAGGTGTATCACTTGCCTGCTCTGTAGTGTCTCCTATATAGAAATAAAAAATATTTGCTTAAACATTTGATTAAAGCAAATGGAGGGTGAAAAGAGAAAGCAGGGGGGAAAACACAGCCATGTCATAACAGTGCCTCTCCTTCTGTGTTTCCCTAGCTTATCACACCTCATGCCATCCGAGTGCAAACACCTCCACGTCACATTCCAGGAGTGGTTGAAGTGACATTATCATACAAATCCAAGCAGTTCTGCAAAGGTGCACCAGGCAGGTTTATTTACACAGGTAGGTGATTTGCACTAGAGGAGCTCCAGCTCAAAGCCTCTTTGTTTTGGTAGCCAGTGTTGACAACTCCCTGCTTGTTTGCTTGCTTTCTTTAGCCTCTTGCTGTTTGAAGGCCACTCTGCTAGTGGTGACATTTGGACACCAGGACATAGCTTCATTGTTGTGCAGGGGTGTTCAGGCACTGCTACTACACATGTTAATATTTTCTCCAGATTAAAAGCTCATGCTGTTTTATTAAGTGTCTGCCTGTAGATGGATTGAATGGACAGACACCATAGCATTGTTCTACATACTGGAATATGTTTTATTTATAACTGTATTTATTCTCCATTTTCCTCTCACTGGGGTTAACCTTTCATTTTCAAGGTAATCCCAGAGGACAAGGGAGAGCATCTTGTATCAAGACAAGCCAGTGAACTGAGTGGAAAATAAATCTTTTGGGCTTTTTTTATTCTTAAATGGATTATTAACTTATTTAGTGCCCTGTATTCATCTCTTCTAGCTGGAGAACATTATAGATCTGAAAAAAAATAAATCAGGTGGGACCAGAAGATCATCTCCTTGCACTGTCAGCATCAGCAGTAAAAATGATGGCATCTAATGTATAGACTAAAGTTTCTGAAGCCTGACTGAGGGGTAATGATGCACTGAGTTCTAAAAGGTGGATTTATATTTAAGTTGAATGACTTTCACCAAATCATAGTCAGGTTTCTCAAAATGGAAGGATTTATTTTAATTTTTTAAGCCTCTTGCTACCAACAATCTTCACTAACCAGTCTTTGCATATCATAATTGTTACATTTTAAATCGTATTTAACTAAAAAATAATCATGAAGGTCCAAGACATTTTTTATTAAAAACTTGAAGGGAAAAACTTTAATACCTGTTGAATGAATTAGAGTTTTTCCCGAAGTAGAAAAATTTGACTGAAAATCTGACACTTCAGGACTTTAGAAAGAACCTATGATTTGTGAAGCTCCTGTTACTGTCTTATGCCATTTTATATATCCTTTGTTAGTACACATGCTAAGTTAGTGGTCAGTGATGTGTGTCTTAAGGCATTTTATTCACTGAGACATTGATTCATGTGCAGTACAGAGCTTGTAGGGGTGAAGTAGCCCTGGTGTGGTTACTTTCAGAGAGGGGGAGGGTGTTAGTTCTTTAGTTGTTATTACAGGTTTAAATGTGAAGTTGTTTTATGCCATTTTCTGCTTCTTGACACCTTGCTCTGGCAATGCCTTCAGCACAAGCAGTACTGGGGGCCACCAGCCCTGTGCTGTTGGTACCTGTGCTGAAGGAGGTTTGGGAATTGAGTGATAGAGAGATGTGTAATAGAAAAGTCTCATTATTGTAAAGCTGTTCTAAATGGCAGGCTTACTTGTACCAGCTAGGGGGGACTTGAGTCAGACTTCAGTGCAGTTCTTTGACATGTTAATTAGAGTGCTTCCACAAGAAAGGACATGAAGATGTACGTAGGAGCCAGCGGAAGGGAAGAAAGTTAAATATCCTATCCCTGGCTTACTGCTGTTGTTGGCATGGGGATATCTGTTAGCATTCTCTGAGGAGTGAGTGGGTGCTCAGTGCCATATGCTACCAGCAGCATTTCACAGAAGAGGCTGAGCTGTTAGAGCAAGGGGAGAGCAGACAACTTTTCAATCTGTCTAGTCAAGAACCTGCAGTTCTCCCACCATGGCAGGCAAAGTTAGATAAACACAGCTATTAGGTAGAGGCTCACCTGTGTAATCAATTCCCCCAGGTTGTTGCTGCTAAGATCAGTAAAAACAACTTCTAAACTATGAAAATAACAGGGTGGCTTTTTTTGTTTTCATTTTGCTTTCCATGGCTCTGCTCTCAGAAAGCTGCTGTGATTCTGAAACAGTCAAGGTCCTTCTGCCTGCTTTAAGACTTCCACAACACCTTTTCAACCCTTTGACCAATTTCTGAGATTTTATCAGAAAGGTAGGAGCATCAAAGATGCAGAGTTCCAGCACATTTTTTTGTGAAACTGGAAAATGATAAGAGAGATCTGAATGCATCCTCCACTGAAGGAAAGGGTAAGAGCTGAGCCATGTTGTTGGACAGCAGAGAAGCTACCAGAAAACAGCCTCAGGAAACCAGATTGTTTAGATGCCACTGCCCACAAAATGCAGGTGTGCATGGATAGCAGGCTGCAGAAGGGCTGCTAGTTGGGTAGAGTGCAGCAGAAAAGTATCATATAAAATATTGAAGAGGACAGGTCAATAGGTTTTATAATTTATTAAGGTGGTCCCGTGCATCCCAATAAAAATCTGGGGTCTTTTTGTAGTAATTGAACTTCATTATTTTCTTGGTATCATAGAACTATAGAATGTCTTGGGTTGGAAGGGACCTCTAAAGGCCATCTAGTCCAGCCTCCCTACAACAAGCAGAGACATCTCAGACTAGAACAGATTGCAAGTACTTCTAGCACTTCATCTTCCTGTATATTCCTCTGAGCTGACACAGAGTTAGTAGCTAATGTAGCAGAGAATGCAGGAAGATTGGAGACACAAGAGACCTTCCCTCCTGGCTTGTAGTTGCCACTATAAAGGAGAATTTCTCCTCTAAATCCCTTCCCTTTACATTCAGTCTAGGAGACTGAAAAGTGTGAAATCCTGCAAACTAAAAGTGTGGGAAGATGTCATTCTGTCAGAACTAGTAACACAGCAACAACCAGAAGCCCCACTGCTCTCAGGGTCAGGTCGTATTAACTCCTTCATAATTATTAAGTGCTGAGATACAACCTCAGATGAAAAGCACGAAGGGTCAAGTCATATGGAAAACACTGAGTGGTTGGCTTCAGGTACTTCCCAGGTATAATAAGAATAATTATTGATATAAAACCAGACCTCAGAGGGTCCATCAGGGCCTTGCTGAATCAGGCATGGGCAACCAGTTCCAGAAAGCCACCTCCTTCCATTTTGTACATGAGACCTTGCTACAGAAGGACAAAGAAAGATCAACCACTTATAGTTATCTGAAACCTTGACTCATTTAAGTGAAAGACCTTTGTAAAACATGAGTTCTGGTTTGAGCTAGGATAGAACCAATTTTCTGTCCAGTGATTTTACTTTTGTGTTAAGTGTCTTCTAAGTAGCCTTAAACCCTGACACCTTTAATCACCAGAGCACCAATAGTCTTCTGAAACATGGAAACAGAAAAACAATGATCTTGGTCAATGTTGTATCTGCCCATGCCTTCAAAATTTAATATACAATCAAATATTAGTGTTTGACCTGATTATACTTGAAGTCTTTTTTTAAAGAGTCACAATAATGCAGATTGTTTGAAGAAGAAAATGACAAACTGCTGAAAAGATGAATATAAAAAATAAGATATAAATTTCAAGGGTAAATCTAAATGCCACAGTGGAGCTGTTATGGGAGCTCATCTGCGTCCTGTAATGTGTATTTATAACAGGCTCCTTGCAGAGTGTGCTGTGCTGGCAGTGCTGGAGTTATGGTTCTGTCAGCGTTTCCACTCCTAAGTGCTATCATTCAGGTGCTGCAACTCAGCCATCAAATTCCTCTCACCACCAAAATGTGATGTGTAGACCTTTTCCATAAGGTTCCCAGATGGAAAACTTTTATGAGTGAAACCAACAGGATTCTGTGGACATCTAACAGTGTACTGGAGAGTACAGCAAATACCTAGAGAAATGGCTTGGTTTATGGTAATAGCAGTTGCTGAACCAACTTACATACTGCAGTAGTTAAGCATCTACTTAAAGTGAGAGATAAAAAGTCTATTTTTAAATCACCACAACTAAACATTTAGTCCCTGTGTGTACCTTAATCTGGTGAGACTATGGGCTACACATACATCTTCAGCTTCTGAATTACTTTTCTTTTATCACCTGTTCCTGGCATAATAAGACATTTGTTCTCTGCCTGTAATCTAGCAGTAGCCTCATACTCTGCTTTTAATACTGCACAAATTTAATACTCTGCCACTGTGAGGAGTTCTATTATAGTTCCCTTGACTTTAATAACCCTTACATCAGTTTACGCCAGCTGAGGATGTGTCTCGTAGGCTTTTATATCTTCAGTTTGATCACAGCTCTGCATTTACTGTCTCGTAGAGATGCTAACCTGGCAATGTGTATATCAGGGAGATTTTGAACATAATTTTCCTTGCCGAGCAGAAATCCTCCAGGGGTTAAGTTGTCAGAGCAATGCAATATAAAATAATCTGTAGGATATGTTGGACTCCCAGGTTGTGCTGTGTGAGTCTCTATGCCAGGTACCAGGGATAGGAGGGTACTGGTTTGCTAAAGCTTGTAAGTACCTTTGAAAAGGTCTTGTTATCTGCTTGTGGGAACAACACTCAGAAGAATGCAGTGAGCTCTGCAAATTGGAAGAGCAAGATCCTTTGGTCAGAACACAATTGCTGTGAAGGAAACATTTGCAGAGACCAGCCCCTGCCTCTGCTGTAGCCTAGTAAAGACACATGGCATGGGAGGAATGCTGTGTGGGGAGCAGGGTGTTTGCAGCAGCTACCAACACAGCAAACCCAACCCAGGAGCCCTGCAGTGCCCTTCTGGCATCATCCTTCCAATCTGGGATGACAGCATGTCCCTTAGAGCAGGCTGCCCAGTGTGGATGTGCCTCCCAAGCCCAGGGGAGCAGGATTATAGCAAGGGTTTTATTCTGTAGGGTCAATACCAAGCATCCTTTACTGCTGCCTTGAGTGAAGGTCATCACTAATGCAAAGCTGGAATTTGGCCATTTAAGGCCTTTGGTGCCTTTTCCTCCCTGTTCACACCTTGAAGAAGGTCAGGCATCCCACTGCAAACATTGTGCTCCCTCTGGCTGGGTGTTCTGGATAAGGTTATTTCTAGAGGCATAAATTCTTCTCATTGCTACTTTGCAGAGGGCTTGCTCCCTTCATTCTGCTCTGTGGGGTAAAGCAAAGCTGACCTGCAGAACCTTGCTGAGGTCCTTGGCTGTGGCCCTTTCGTGATGGGGGGAGAGGGAGAGTGCACATCTCCCACGGTGTGCACTGGCAGTGTCAGGATGAGCTGTCACTCATGGTAAATTGTGCAGATCTTCATAACATCATCTTCCTTCAACAGTCTTATGTGCTTTGATGTGTGGTGAAATAATTAATACTTTAAATGTCAGCACTGTTATCATTGGGTATCTGAGTTAGTCCCTGTTGAGATGAATGGGACTGAGCTGTTGTTTCAGGTTTTGCAGATGCAGACAGATGTCATGGCATCAGTTACTCAAGTGTGAGATTTTATTTTTTTTCCTATTCAAGTGAGTCATAAGAGCTGGAGACCTGTTTTTAAAATGGAAGCCTGGATTTTGGAGGGTAAGGAACAATGCAAAAGAAGCAGCTGCTCCATAGCTTGTCTGAGCCTTGTCAGAAATGAAGTCAGGCAGGCTGAGGGGCATTTAGACCTCTCCCCACTGCTGACTGTAACTGTCCTGTTGTTAGAACAGTTATGCTAGAGTGAAACCCACACTTCAATTTATTCACTAGATAGGAACTCTTTTTTTGTATACATTATATTATGTCATGCACAACTTCTCAAGCTATGCTTTGGGAAATGGAACAGGCACCTTGTGCCTGAAACCCTGGATTTGAAAGTTGCAAAAGGGGTTTTGCTGCACCTGGATCAGTTTTCTTGGGGCGTTAATTTCAGATACCTGATTTGTAGAAGATAATGAGCAGCCTGCTTCTGTGTCAGACCCCTTTATGGTCTCTCAATCCATGAACCCCAGAGCATTTGGATATAATTTTGGGACATTTCTATATAACACATAGATAAATCACTAGTGACCCAGTAGCTCCTTCCTCAGTGGCAGTGGTGTTGTGCTGGAGCTACTGAAACCTGCTGTTGGAGGTTGCATCTTGCCCTTGAGTTGAAAAGGTACCATTTACTTCTCCAAATGTCAGATGTTGGTTTTTAGCAAGATTTGACAGATATTTTTGTTCCATTAATGAGTAAAACTAGCAGTAGGCAGTTCTGTTGCAGCCTTTTGTGCTGAAAGACATAATAAATACAGAGATTCAAAATGGCTGAGCTCTCCTTAGAGCAATTCAGGATTGTTGAGAAATGATTTGCTGCCATTTATCTATCAGAATGAAAATGTCCATGTCAATCCATTGGAAAAATGTTTCTTGAATAACAGCCAATTTCTTCTTCCTGAATTAGCATCTTGTATGTTCCCATTAGCTATTTTAGTCAGCTATGTATACATGCATGTTTAAACTCCTATATATTTTACGTTGCTTTTTGCTTAGTTTGAGATATATAACTTAACTGATTAGACTTGTAATCGAGAAGAGAAATGGCACATAATGATGTATAGGCTCTTGAGAGAATTGGCCTGTAATTCTCAGGATTATTGGCAAAAAAACCCACCCCCCCAAAAAAGAAACCCTCTTCCCAAATGGGATGTAGATTCTGTGGCAGTTGAAATGTGTATTATTAAACTCCTTAAGCAAACCAGAATGGCTCCCAGTGGAGAGCAAAGACATTCTAAGTATAGCCAAGACTAAATTCTCAGGTCTGGGTTTTCTCTACTCAATTCCCACTTGATTATCTCCTGTAATATTTAAACTTCATGCCATGCCATAATTATTTAATAAAAAGTAAATATAAAATGTATCTCAGTGGGGAATATGACCTTTTACCTTCATGTTGTTCTACCAAAGACAGACACAGATAAACAGAGACTCTGGATCAGTGTTACAGGCTGTCTCACTTGATAGTTTTCATACTTCTGGTGTCTGAGACCATTATTACCCTGGAAGATGGTGTGTATAGTTTGGAAGATTCACTAAGTGCCATCAGCATCTCTTGCCAGTAGGTGTGTTCAGCTGGGCTGATGTCACTAGGTATTTCATGTCTATTCTTTTGTTTCAAAAGAAGCACAAATGGTTCAAGAGGACAAAAGATGCTAGCACTGAATAACTCACATGTGTTACCATGTGGAATTCTTAGCAAGATTCTCAGCATGAATATGTTGTTTGAATTTTTGTGCACATTCTGAAGGATAAGGGAATGCTAAAAGATTGTGCTTGTGCCTGTTAGTAAAGGCTAGTAATGCTGATGTGTTAGAGACAGTCAAAGCCTATGACTGTGCAGAATGCTACAGAACTGGCTGTTAGTTTCTGTGTTAAGTTGGAGTTTAATTTTGAATCATCAGAAAGAAGCTTATTATTGCCACAGTTTCAAAGTAGAGATCACTGAAGGGTCTGAAGTTTTATGGCATCATCAGCGATGCCAGCAGGGCTCTGCCAGCTATTACTGACTGAGGATCTGGGTCAAAATACCTAGTTTATCCACTAGAGATTAACATCATTACAGTGAAGTGGCTGTGTATGCAGAATAGCCCCACACAATTGAAGAAGTTGGTGTGTCTAATGAATAGCTGTGCCCTAGTTTGTGATGGCAGAATGTTGGGGGGGGGGAGTTAGTGTGTTTATTAGATGAGCAGTAAGGTACTCTTGATTTCTGGCTGTGTAACCAACCTGTTCTCATTTGCATTTGCACCATAACTTGCTATCTTACTGGTCAGTTTTGTGCAAAGTAAATATCCTTAAAGGAGTATTTTGTGGCAACAATTCCCTGCTGCATCTTTCAAATTCTTAACTCAGCCTTTGATGGATGGTGAGAAATCAGCACTGGAAACTGGAGTAGTTTTAAGTCATGCTTTTTTGTTCCCTTATTAAGCCAAGCTCAGTAGTGTAACCCTTTGGAATACCTTCAGTCAGGAGGTTTGCAAATAGCAGGCACATACATTTTGTCATTTGCTTACACATGAATACCTCTGAATGCATTTTTTGGAATTCTGGCAGAAAATGAGCCTGTAGACTCAAGTCTCTGTGCCCACCAGAATAAGCAGGCACGGGGGGGCTGAGCACACCTGGGTGCACACTTGGATGCAGGGGATTCTGTCAAGGCCTGGCTGTAAGCAGGAAGGTGTCACTAATTCTTTAACAGATGACAGACACACTGAGGGTTTGTCCTGGATCACCATGCAGTTCATTATACAGATAATGACAGAACCAGCTGTACAATTAAATGGGTGGAGCTGGGGTACCAGGAGTCAGGGGACCTGCTCTGTGTCACATGGTGCAATGTTAACAGCTTTGTGTGTTCAGCTTTCTTAGTGGCACAGGAAGTGTTGTTATCTCTGAAAAGAGATGAGGGATCCCCCTGCAGAAGTTCTGGTAAAGCTTCTCTTCCTACTCCAGCCTGTCCTAGACAGTGTTCAGGGCTCACCTGAGCAGGATCCACCTAGGAACTGGGCAAGGAGCAGTTTTCTATGGCCAGGCTGTGAAATCCATCTTCTCTAGTTATGAAACCGAGAAGACTTACCCAGGTATGTACTCATATAATATGGTTTGGGTTTTTTTTTTCTGTTTTCCTTTCAGCTTTAAATGAACCTACCATAGATTATGGTTTCCAAAGGCTGCAAAAGGTCATCCCAAGGCATCCTGGTGACCCTGAAAGACTAGCTAAGGTAAAATATTTTTAAGCACTTTATTGAGCCAAGTAATATGTTGTTTCATATTAAATGACAACTACATCTGATCATAAATTCACCAGTTAGTTGTAGGTGCAACTAGGAGTTTGATCATGTAGAACCCACAGTGAAGAGTAATTTTTATCAGTCAGAGCTCTAACACTGTGAACTTCTGTTGCTGCTGAAGTGAGTCCAGTGCAGCTCATCTTCCCAGTGCATGCTCATGGTCCTTTGCATTTCTCCATAATGGCACATAACTGACACGTGGCAGACAGGAGGGATTTGTTCCAGAGGTCTCATCTGCTACTAAAACCCACATAACGCTCAGTTTTTCCAGCAGCAGGATGGGCAGCACCCCTGGCGTGAAACAGGGGGGTTTTTTCTGTATCTTCCTGTATTTTCTGTAGCCCTGACGCTGCCTCCCTGGCCCGCGGGGAGGCTGGAATTGTCCCCGCGGTGCAGGGGCCGGGAGCGGGTCAGGACTCTGGAGAGCTCCGCTCAGCTCCGCCCCTGACCTCCCTGCTCCCAAAGGGCCCGAGGATTCGGGGATGTCTCCTTTGAGATGCTCCAGTGGGGTCAGTTCCGCAGGGAAGAGCTCTGTGAGGGACCCAGTTTCCAGAATGGCCACACACAAAGACACACGTTCCAGAAATGACTAGCACGTGGTTTTGCATTGAAAAACCTTTTCTGTTAAAAATGTCCGTTTAATGCATCTGCTCATCCTGCAGGAAATGCTGCTGAAACGAGCTGCTGACCTAGTTGAAGCCCTGTATGGGACACCACACAACAACCAGGTCAGCGTGGCTGCCCTTGCCAGGGCCGTGGCTCCGGGTCAGGGATAAACCTGGTTCTGAGCTTGTCCCTTTCCTCCTGCAGGACATCATCCTGAAACGAGCTGCAGACATTGCAGAAGCTCTCTACAGTGTCCCCAGGAATCCTGCCCAGATCCCAGCCCTGTCCAGCTCTCCTGCTCACAGCAGCATGATGGGAATCAACTCCTACGGGAGCCAGTTAGGAGTCAGCATTTCAGAGTCAACACAGGGGAACAACCAAGGTAAGCACTGCAAGTTTGGTGGTGCTAAACAATTAAGAAATGAATCTCAGTTGTTCCCATACTAGTTCCTCAACTTGTCTACCTGCTCAGGAAGGTGGTTTTGATCTGTCAGAGTTGGACACAGCTCTGTGTTGACATGTGTCTGCTCCAGGCAGCACAGCAGCTATGGCTGAAATTATTTTTATGTGTTTTTTTGATACCAACTTAATCCTGAATTCTCTCCCTGCTCCCCTCTACATCTCTTTTGTTGTTGTTATTTGTTTTCATAAAAGACAAGGACAGCAACAGAAAAAACCCTCTCTCAGTTAAAGAGGTGGGGAATTCTTTTTTTTCAAGCTGCATCTTCAGTGTTATTTTTACCAACTTGCATCTGGTTTGTGTGTTACATTTACTCCAGATATATTATTGTTAGGAAAACATGCCATAAAATGACATGTTTACAGCATGAAGTTAATATGACATGTGCCATGTCAGAAGGCATCATGTTAATAATTTTGCTGGGTTTTTTAAATAAGGTATTTCCAGGCCCTGAATAATAATAATAACAATATTTTACTTTTATATTTATAAATATTTATATTTAGGTTCATAATATAAATGGGAAGAAATAATCTGACCTGATAACTGTTAGCACTTTTAAAGTACTTACTGGACCACATGTTCTGATGAAAAGTTTTCTAGGGAAAATTCTTCTGCAGCTGTAATAGTTGCCTTTTGTTTTAAGGCTGAGAGCTGTTGTGTTTTCCAGGTCTCTTTCTGGAGAAAAAAGAGCCTGAATTTTGGTTCTTAAATATTTATGATTTTGTTTTAAGTAAAAAATTGTTTTTTAGTTACAGTTTCTTTCTTCCCCCAAATAGTGTATCTTCAAAGGCTGCAAACTTATATATGGGGATAATTGCCCTTAGTAATGTACTTGCTGTAGCTGTAATTCATCAATAATTTGAAAAAGATATCCTAATAATCATTGCAGTAGAACTAACAGTAGCACCTCATAACCATCATTTGAACAGTATAACCTTCTAAAATTGTAGAAAACCCCACACATATTATAAATTCTACCTTAGAAAAAGATGAGCCACACACTTTGTTTTTGCCAGGTCTTAAGACACACTTCAACTTTTAACAAGTCAACTGTTATTGGAAAAATATACATCAGTTATATTCTATAACTCAGTTATATATTAGAAAAATACACATCAGTGATATTCTGTAACTCATGTATTACATTAGAAGAAGATACATCAGTTGGTTTCTCACATTGATTTAAAACTTGATATTCCTTAACTTGAAAGCATGGAAGCAGTGGCACTAGCTTAAATGTTTTAATTAATCTGGATTTAAAGAAGTAATTTATTTAAGCAGGGATAATACAGGAGAAAGTCAGAAGCCAAATCCCTTGATGTACTGCGAAACATGTTGATTTTCAGGTTACATCCGGAATACCAGCAGCATCTCACCCCGAGGTTACTCATCCAGCTCCACCCCTCAACAGTCCAACTACAGCACCTCCAGCAACAGCATGAATGGCTACAGCAACGTCCCCATGTCCAACCTGGGCGTGCCGGGCTCGCCCGGCTTCATCAACGGCTCCCCCACCGGATCCCCCTACGGCTGTGAGTGCTGCTCCCTTCCCTGGGCACAGGGACAACAGCAAGTGATGCCTTTGGAGAGAAGTTCTCAGGGTTTAGCTAAGATTTTTGTGCTGATTGGTGTGCTGGTTTTCAGTCTGGATTAGAAAATGGTCCCCTATTTCCAGAACAGAGGAATATTGAATCCTACTTGTGGCTCCTTCATGTTTTTATCCTTCTACAGGTTCCTAAGTGGCAAAGGCCACAATGGGAGCTACAGAAGGATTTACAACTTCAGGTTATTAAGCAAATAGCCATCACTTTTAGCATAGACATTACTTAAAAGTCACTCTAAAATATGTTTATGTGTATGACCTCTATTAGCAATAACTGAGAGCTGAATTGTGGGTTCATTTCCTGTGAAACTGTATTACCTTGTTAACCAGAAATACTGCAACAGTGGAATAAATTCTAGAAATCAGTATTAGTGCATTTTTAGTTTTACCATGAGCAGCTCTCTGTTCCTTTCATGCCTTGATTTCCCTCTGGCAAGAGTGAGTGTGTGTGTAGGATATATAGAAAAGGATGAACAGTTAAACGCCTTTTTACTGAGTTGTTTGATATTTTACCTACACTGTAGTTTACTGAGGATACAGCTGCTCATGGTGTCAGGATAGAAAACACCAGAAAACACCCAACACCCTGCACAGGATTATGGAATTTTACTTACATTCACATTGTCTGCATGAGGACTGACCCACTTTGCAGTGATGATGATTTTTGCTGTTCTGTGATTGTATTTCTGATGAGGATTCACTCTTCTCTTTTGCAGTAATGTCTTCAAGTCCAACAGTTGGCTCCTCCAGCACTTCTTCCATCCTTCCATTCTCCTCTTCCGTCTTCCCTGCTGTCAAACAGAAGAGTGCCTTTGCTCCTGTCATCAGACCCCAAGGGTCTCCTTCTCCTGCCTGCTCCAGTGGCAATGGAAATGGGTTTAGAGGTAAGAAAATACACCATTAATATTCAGCTGCACTTGTAAAGCACAGTGTGTGAGTCTGGGCAAATGCAGGAATTAGCTGAATAGTGACATGACAGGACTCAGCAGTGCAAACCTGACCCTGTCCAAGGGGATTAAAGCAGTGCTCCAGGCTCTGACTGGTTTTAAAACGACAGGGGACAGACACTCATGTACACCAAGAAGGATCTGACCCAGGCTGCATTCCAGTGCCAGCGCTTTGTGAGGAATGACTCCTCCTGGGGCTTCAGGGCCTTGTAAAACAACCCTCTGCCCTGCAGAGTTAACACCAGCTCTGAACAGCCCCTGTCCTGAAACCTGCTGCAAGGTTTAGGCTCAGACCAGGAATTTTACAGCCTTTTTAAAGGTGATCTGCAAAACAAATGTGAGTATTAAGATAAGAATGGAAACCTGTGCTCCATTCTTGCTCTGATGGGCTGGGGGGTGCGCGGCACATAAATACGCTCCAAGTCTCCATAAAAACCCCTTTATAGGGCCTGAGGAGTCATCTGGCTCCTTCAGACTCCACTAGAGATACCAGAGGAAACACAACTCTGGGAATTCAGCCATGCCAAGAGGCAGTGGTAATTCTAAAATGAGCCCTACAAACCACACCTGTTGATCTCGGTGCATTATAAATCCTTAGCTGGGCCACAGGGACTTACATAACCTGTGATTATTTTATATAATAAGGAAATTCTCGGTGTGTTGGACAAAAACAATTACATTTTTAAAAGCTAACTTAGAGAATTCTGCTGTATATCTGAAACAGCTTCTTCCCCTGCCCCAATTACACTAAATTCTGTGGTTTAAGATCATCTTCTCCACCTTAATGAAAGACATTGATCTACTCATGTAATTTCACAGCTGTCATGTTGACAGAGAATAGAATTTCTTTTCCACTCAGTTTCAAGAAGATTAAAAGAAGGATTTGAAGCCATTTTAAAAACTATAGCTGTAGAAAGTGTTGCTGGTCCAAAAGCTGTAGCTATTTATGTAAACTGTTTAAAAATGGGTTTATCTTTATTAATGTTTTTTATGATCATAGTGTCTAAAGGGTCATTGTCCCTACCTGGTCTGCATTGATTTCACTGCATTTTTATAGAAAATGAGAGGTTTAGCTGCTTTAAGGAACTATTTCAAAGTAATATAATTTTAAACTGATTTAGTTAAACATTTAACCATGAAGGCCCATCAACTTCAGAATAATTTGCTTGCTTGTCTTAAGCCAGTTGGACAGTGCTATAATCTAAAGACAAATGAGTGCCTCCAGAATAGACTGAAGTCTCTGAAGTTAAACATACTAAGAAGTCACCTAAGGTGGTTCTAACCACAAATCAGTGCAGTGAGAGAATAATTTAGATTGTTTCTGGGAGATACAAAAAGGACAGATTAAAAAAAACAACTGACTTTTTATTTAAGTTAATGGTTTTCCTTAATCTACTATGTCTGTCCTGTCTGCTCAAGACTCTGCTTAGCAATAGTTTATATCTAATTTAACCCTTTTGTAAACAGGCAGATTACTGGGCACCATTTAGTGTTTTTACAACATATTTTATCCAATCTGTAAATCAGCAATTGATAAGAGATTCTACAAATGGCAGTTTAATATCAAGTATAGCATAAAATCTCAAAAGCTAAAAACCCAGTCCTCACATCCATGCATTTAACTGACACAAGCCCACTCTTGAGCCATTCAGGGTTCATCTATCAATCAAGGTTATGATGACTCTCTGAAATAGCTTATGCATATTGAGATGCAGAGACTTGGGCCCAGATAAACTTGTTGTGGGGGATCTTGTGCACCAACACCCTGATAGATAAATACAGGTAACAGGCTACAACTGCTATTTAAGTAAGTTTTCAGCAGATACAATACCTGGTGCAGTGGGACTTGTCACTCAGGCAGCAGCAGCACCAGGTGTGACTCACAGCAAAGGCAGCAGTTGAACATGTCTGCCCAAGGTTTGTGATGCCAGGTCTTTGTAACCATTTAACTAGTTCAGCCATAGATGCAAATTCTTCTTCTTAAATGAAATATTCAAATTGATGCAAGCTGGGGAGCATATGCTTTGGAAGGGATCCAGATAGACACAGCCTGATATCCAAATTAACTTTCCCACAGTGTTGACAGACAGATGTGGCCAGGAAGTCAACAGGAGGGCCCCAAAGAAGCTTCTTGACTGGACTTACTGTGCTGCAGCAAGGGGATGGTGTTCATCTCCTCTGCTGGGCCATCACCCTGTACTGTAACAATAGAACAGGTGTGCTGGTCATGCCATTCCTTTCTTTATTTCTCAAATTTAGGCATCAGTAAATAGTGATGGAGACAGAATAGCAAGCATGTGCAGGCTCCTTCCCAAAGCAGTAAGGCAACAGTTCTGACATTGTCTTGGAATTTCCCCACCCTATGGAGAAAACATCTCCCATATGGGGATTATTTTTTATTCTGAGTTTTAATGCAATGTTTGCAAAGTACTTTGACTATGTCTTTTGTTTGGAGGCAAAAATTTCCTGGTGATACAGTCTCCATCCTACTTACTGCATCCTGTTGCAATGAGAATATTAGAAATGCTCCCAGCACCTCAGGGCATGGCACTCTGCTTAGAAGCAGCAATGAAAATGCAGCCCCCACATGTGCTGAGCACAGCAGTGTTTAGGCCTGGATTAAAACTGATCTGAACAGAAAGAGCTGTACAAGCTTCATCCTCAGGTTAGAATCCCTATTATTCCAGTCAGTTTACAGTACTGCTGGAATTTTTTTCCTGATAATGTATTTTGGGAAGAGAGTCTTGGTGATGCTTAACAGCTGCTGGAGAGAATAGGACAGCTGGTAGAAAATATTTTGTAAACCAGAAGTATTAGGTAGGTGTGAAATTTGTGTATCTACTGGCTTTCAGCTTTGGGCTGCACAAGCCAGCCCAGGCATGTGGAATCCCCTTGGATAACCTCCCATGTTGTCCTGCTTACCTCTTCCACCTGCCAGCTGATGTACATTCCTGCAGTGTAACAGGACATGGTGGGTGGAGAAGCAGCAATCCATACTGAGCACCACTCACTCCCATATACCCTCCAAATTGAGAGCAGGTGATCCTGGTCAGAAACTTGTGGGCTCCCTCCTCATCACGTGTCAGAGCAGTTTAGAGAGGCCCCTGGAAGATGGAACATGATGTGACACCCCACGGCAGCTCCGTACCCAAATGCCTCCTCATCTCCTCTCAGATGGGAGCTGATAGGAAAAGCAAATTGGAACCTGCTGGAGCAGCATGGACTGCTGACTGCCCAGATTACCTTTGGCCAGCTCAGCACATCTCAACATAAACATGCAAGCTCAGTACAAGGACTAGCAGGCAAGCCCCAGAAGGTCAGATGTGCCATTAACCATCGGGATCGGAGCCAACCCAAAAGGTATCCAAGTCTGATTCCCTTAGGGAGTGTCTCAGCTTAGCAGAGGGGACATCTGCACTATTCCCTAAAGGAGCACAGGTATGTGAGTTGAAGACCCTAATTTTTAGTATCTTGTCTTGACAAAGTCAGAGGTGTCAACAGCTCTGGGGGCTCCAGTCCCCTTGCATTAAAGGCTGTGCAACCAGGTACTGAGGGAGAAGTTGGGAAGGGCTGGGAATCAGATGGAGTGGCTCACGTTTACAGGGCAGTGGCTCCTGGTTGGTACATTCCAGTGCCTCACCTGCTGCTCCATGTCAAAGCCTGGCTCCAGCAACACTTCAGACACAGCATTTGGAAGTAATTCTCCACTGAGATTGTAACCAGGTAAACATACCTGGGCCACTTCCATGCTCAGAGTGTTCAGCAATGGGCTTGTGCCCACTGAGTGACTGAGTCAGAGTGATTCCAAAGCCTAGACAGTGTTTTAAGGATGGCAAAGGCTGCAAATGACATTTACATCATTTCAATATATATGAACAATATCTATCTGTCATCTGATTAAATCTGATATATTGGAAAGATCAAGTACATTTTTCTCCCCAGTTCACTGGCAGAGCTGTCAGCAGCACAGGCTGCTCCAAATACAGAAAACATTAAGAGATATTTAAAACTTCTTCCTAACACTTCACTGAACAAAAATATCTCCTGTTACTATTAATTACTTGTCTTACATTTGATGGGATGTTAATTTTAGTAGCTCATCATATGTCACAGGCTTATTTAGGCTGGAAAAGAGCTCCATTTTTAATGGAAGAAAACAAAAACCTGCATTTTTTTAGTGGAAGAAAATATTCCAGACTGCCAGGTGCCACACACTGAAAGGGGGATATTGGGTAAGAGTGAATACTGATTTTTCTTTTGCAGATAAAAATGTAGTATAGTGGAATTACAGATATATAAAATATACATAATTATAGTGTTATTATATATTTATATAATTATATATATTACATATATATAATGTTGTATAAATTATATATATCCTTTTAAGCATAATTGGAAAAATATAAAACTACAGAGTGGCTGTACATTCCTGTGCACTTTAATAATTAAACTAATGCATATATGACTTTGCAAACACATATTTTGATTTTTAAGGGTGTTTTTAATTAAAATGAAATAAAAATACCTGTTCAGGAGCCTTTTGTGCAGACACAGCACCTGGTGAGACAGTCACTAACTACATCAGTGTAACTCAGAGGCCAAGGTAACTTCTCCCATCTCTCAGCTGTCCAAGGTTTTGTTTAGATTTTTTGAATACACTTGTCAAAAACTATGGGGTTAACCTGCTTCTCATGTAATAGAGACAAAACCACTGCTTATTGATAGATCTCTTTCCTGTATGAGATGATCAGGAACAGATGAATTAAAATATTCCATCCAAATACAGAAGGATTGCTGCAGAAAAAGTTTATGTTCTATGGAGGAACAAAAAATAAATTACCTAGGAAGAAATGTGCAGCTTTTGGCTGCTTTTTAGTGCCTTAGTTGTAACCATCCTTCCCAGAAGCTGTAATTCAGCTCACTCACGTGGCAGTTGGGAGGATGATGGTGCCCTTCATCCCAGCCACTGATGGTTTCTGCTCAAGGAAGGCAGCTCTGCTTTCCTCTGAAAATGCTTTCTTTTCTCTATAATTTTCAGTTATTAATTACATAGTAATAAATGATAGATAAGAAATGGGTGTGTTGTTCTATAAAGATCTCTGTGGTCTTAATACTGGAAGTGGAACTGCCCATTGGCTGGTGTCAGAGCCTGCAGGGAGGAGCTGCCCTGGGACAGGTGACAGGGTCTGTGCCAGCAGCTCCCTGACCCCCTGTGCAAACCCACCTGGGCCAGGGGCTGCTCCTGCTGCTGCTTCTGGCCCTGCAGGGCAGGAACATCCAGTGAAGGGGCTCAAAGAAGCACCACTGGAGCTCTTCATTCACCTCTTCTAAGACCTGTGGGACTGTAGGACTGGAGTTTGCTGGAAACTTAGTGCCTGGAGAGGAAAACCAATGAGAGAGCAAGACATTTTAGATGACAGTGGTTGAAGATGCTCCACACCCCTCTCCTCCAGACAGCTCAGCTTTTAAAGTAGGCCTGAAGAACAGGCTCAGGATGTGCACATGTGTGCACACACACAGCACTAAGCCCCTTTCCAATTCCTACCAAAGGGCTGTTGGAATTGCAGTTCTTCTCCAGTACAAAGGAAAACAGCATTTTCAGGGGCTACTTGTACACACTAGGCTTATGATCATTATTAATTGCACCCATTAAAGGTGCCTATCACCATAGCATCTGGGTACTATCCATGTTTGATTATTTATTTATAAAAAAATTCTCCAACCTTGTGACAATTTTAATCAAGTGTTTCAGCTGATAATTGCAAGCTGTCAGGGTTAATACAATAAGGCTCATCTCTAATTCTTTTTCCATTTCCCTCGAAGAAAGAAGGGGAAAAAAAAAAAAAGACCCTCTGGGATAATGACTGTGGTTTCTATATTCCCAACTCATCAGGGAGTGTCCTGCATTGAACCACCTTTATTGAAAAGTTACATCGATTCAATATATAGTAATACAGGCAAAAATAATTACAGCTTTGCTAGCAGTGTAAGACCTTAATCCAAACCTCACAAACATTCAATAAGAAGTGATACAGGCTGGGAATAGAGGCTTTTGACAGTGGAGCCCCAGAGGGGAGGGGAGGTGGGGTGGAAGCAGCAGATGAGGGTATGTAAAGAGAGAGAGGCACAGAGCAAAGCTGGTGAGATGAGCTGTGGAAAAGCAGGTGTTGTGGGAAGAGGGGAAGTTGCAGCACTAGGATGAAATGCCACTGAAACAGGCTTGGCTTGTGCTTTCTGTGCTATATATAAGATATTATTATAATAAATATATTGTTTTATATAGATAGATGACGAGTTTTACCTGAATTTTGCCACAGACAGGTTCCATCCAAACAACTTGTGAGGAGTAGCTCTGCTCTGGAGCACTTCCAACCTGGAATGACAAAACAGACTTGGGCTGGGGGGGGACAAAAGTAAGGAGAGGAAAGCAGGGACTTGGTACTTGCTCAGGAGGAAGGACAGGGAGGCAGAGGAGGGAACTCCAGAGCCCCTGTAACAATCTCCTCCTGATTGCAGGTGGCAGCTTTGCTGTTGCCATCACTAGGCTGAGTCCAGGACTGCTGGATAACTTGTACTTCCCCTGCACTTTAAGAACTTTCCAAAATTATGCATTTACAACTAGTCTTAAAATATTCTTGAAGAGCAATTGCAGAAACTCAGGCTTGATCTTTGCTTTGATTGGCTGGAAGAGGCTTTCCTTGGTTAACAAAAATAAATAAATAAAGATGAATGCTGTTGATAACAACAGGCTCAGGAAAAAAAACATTTATGCCAATATGGCCTGTCCCCCAGGGAAGAGAGTCCAGGGTACAGTGGCAATGGACCCTGCATGGCTCAAATGAAGCCAGGCTGGTTGTGCCAGGCTCTGCTGCCCCTGCACAGCCCCTTTGAGCAGCCAGAGCCTGACCCCTCTGCGCAGGGGAACAGCCCGGCTGTGCTACTGCTCCTCTCTTTGCTTCAGGCAAGAGCCCGAGCCACGTTTCCATAGACAAACAGTTTAAATGCTTTGAGCAAACCTGGCTGATTTTGCCTGGAGCAGCTGAGGAAGCACAGACACGGGCGGAGCTGGTGGGATCCCTGGGGCTGGGGGAGCAGCTGAGGGCACCCCTGGGGTGCCAGCCCAGCAGGGCGCTGGGATCCCTCCTTCCTTGCTGGAGGAGAGGAGGAGAGTGGTCGGTGCACGGGGAGAGGGCTGGGACACTGCCCCGAGGGGCGTTTTTATGGGTTTGGGGGTGAGGAGGAGGAAAGGAGCAGCCTCCTTAGCATGACCAGAAAATCTCTTCTTCTCCCCCCCAAAAAAAAAATCAAAACAGGTATATAAATATTTAACTACTTTATTTAGGGTTATGTAAATTGCCTGCTTGAAAAATTGCCTGATTGACAAATAGCAAATTTCTAAGCAATTTTAAAAAGTAGATGCTTAAGACTGTTCAGTTTCACTTTCTCTTTCAGCTGTGTCAAAATTGGCAGGGACTTCTAGCCCCACTCAGTAACAAAATATGAAAATATTTATTTTCCTATTGTATTAAATCATAGCCCATACCCACAGTTGTTTAATATCAGCACAGCTCCAATAAAGGAGTCATGTTAGCTGAGGATCTTGCCCTAAGCATTCTTTTAAACACTAGGAACATAAGGGTGAAATTCATTCTCACAGGACAGGTCTTTAAACACATGAATAATCCCACAAATTTCAGTGAACATAAATCTTTGCAGGATTAGGACCTTGCACTGCACTGAGGCCCCTTTGAAATTATGACTCACTCATTTGTTATATAAATACATATAAACTTAACTTACCCCTCAAAACCTTTGGGAACAGCACCAGTTCCAGGCAGCTTCAAATGTTGCTGTTGTCAGGTCTGAAGAATATAGCTGCAATTAAAGGCAGTGAGAGTGACTAATAAATAATTTACATAAGCCCAGTGCTCTGGGAATGTGCCAGGTAAGACTACAGTGATTCAGACATATGGGGCAAACCAAGCAAGAACGAATGGCTGGGCCATCATTTCCTCTGAAACTAAATTAGAAACCCCAGCCCTGGTCAGTGTCCAGGGAGTGGGGACTTGGAATTCTCTGGCACAGTCCGTGAGCAGCCCAGGGCACATTCCCATTTGCTGTCACAGCTTCCCTCCCTCCCAACATAACCCTTCCTGCAAGCAAATGAGCAGGTTGGTGGGAAGTGACAGACTCTGTTCCATGCTGGTTTTAGAATCATTAATAGAATCACAGAATAGTTTGGGTTGGAAGAGAGCTTAAAGATCATCTAGTTTGCAAGAATGTGAGCGTTCAGCTCGAGAAAGGCCTCAGGTTCTTGGTGAATTTGCTGTGGATCAGCACGTTGCCCACTGGCTGTGGTCCTGCTCAGCCTCAGCCTCACCATCTTACTTCTCACTAAAGCATAAAATCATTTAAAACCCCTGAAGTTTAACTGCAGGTGAGGCCCCTGCTGTGATACATGACTGCACACAGAAGGGTGAAGGGCTCAAATCTATTTTGTTCCATAAAAACTGACCAGAATTTCCTCTCTGTCAATTTTCTTTTTCAGCCATGACTGGTCTTGTCGTTCCCCCGATGTAAGGCAGAGGCAGCTTTGCTCTCTCCCTCTTCCCTTTTTTCCTCTTTTTTTTTTTTTTTTTCCCTTTTTCTTTTACAGCACAAAACTACTTATTGTGATGGACCACTAAAAAGAAAAAAATAATAGCACTACAAGCTCTTTTTGGGGGGAAAGCCAGGCCCAGGAGAAAAAAAAAATAAGGAACATTTTTTATGGATTGGACAAGCTAGAAGTCTGCATCTTTTACCTGTTTCATATTTCTGACAACCACATCAACTCCTAAAACATTGGGAATGAAAGAAGAATCAGCCAAGAGCCAGGACGAACAACAGAAGGATGGAATCAGAAGTGTAAAGTCTTTCTTGAAAGACACGAAACCTTCCTAAGATTTGTAAAATATCGAAAGGAGAAAGGAATTGGCAAAATGATTCAAGCTTGATATTTTGGATACAATTTGTTTTACTTTGTAGGGGAAAAAAGTTGAAGTTTCTATTTTCTATGGAGCCTTTCAGATATCGATTTAGTTTATGCAGAAAAAAGATTTCAACAAAACAGGGTACCAGCATGAGAGAATTTCTAGGACAAACTGACATGAATGATGGAACTTCGGTGTATGTGTGTATTTGCTTATAGTTTAACCTCTTTAAAAAATGTAAGATGTTTTACAATTATTTAAATAAATAAACTTGTAACTTATTGTATGTAGAGGTAGAAAATTAAACCCTTTTTTGGATTTTTTCCTCCAGTTGTACAATGAAGAAAAATGATGCAAAAATGTAGTGATAAGTTTGAGATATATTATTACTGCTGCAATTGCTCCTCACTTCTTCCCTCTGACTGAATTAATGTGCAAAGATATGTAAGATTCTTCCTGATCAACAAAACCATCACAAACTTTTAGCTACATTGTGGTATTCAGGTCACTAAGTCATGTATGGATTTTCACCCTCCTCCCCCTGCCATTTTTTGTTTGTTTCAATTAAAATATTCAGGTACTGAGATTAACTGGTAGGTTTCAAAGACCCTCCTGGCAAATGAGCAGCACTTAAGGGTTTACAGGAACCAGCGTTTTCATGAGGTACTGAGTTGATTTTCTAGATTCAATGTGTCAATTAAGAGGGAAAGAGTTCTCTAACATTGTTCTTCCATGTAGTTAGAACACCTTAAGTTCAGTTATACTTCATATTAAGGGTGCATTTATAAAGGGTAAATATGTATTTGAGTAATTTATGCACTTTTATCCTGAGTCATTAAAAATGGTAAGTATTTTCCATTTATGTATTGAAGTTCATAGAAGTAATTAATTGCTTTGAATTCTTCTGCATTTTAGAGTAAAAAAAAGTTTAGTTCTCCTTTGCATCTCCTCTCCTGAAATTGGAAGGTGAGAACAAGCCTGATAAAAAACCACTAGTTATCTGACTAAACCAGAGATGACTCACAAGAATTTGGTTGTTGGAAAGCCATTTTTTGAGAAAAAGCTACACTACTTACACCCCACTAACACAGACATGATTCGTGGCTGCACAAAGAGTTGTTCCTGTGATAACATTATTAATGAAGAAACCCTTAATATTTGGCCCCTGAAACTGTACTTGTCCATTTGCCCAGTAGGTTATCGATGGGTGAGTGAAACTGGTCTGGGTGATCCCTGTATGTGGTAGGAGATGGTCACTTCAGTGCTGGACTCAGAGTGGTGACCAGCTGTGACAACCTGCATGGCTGAGGTCCTTGTGGAGCTACTGTGGATAAATCACAGACTAGAAAGCCTGTGTCTAGGTCTGTGGTTCAGATCCAGCTGCACTCAGTGACTCAGAGGCTTGGTGGGTGTGTGTGTGTGTGACAGCCCCTCACCTGACAGGCTTTGGCACCCACCTGCGTCTTCCAAACAGGGAAGATGGTTCCCTTAACAGCCCAGGGCAGGACAGCTGATGGGTTGTGCCCCTGCTTGTGGTGCAGAGTGTGTGAGGAGATCCTCCTCACACCTCCCATAGCACAGGTCAGCTCAGGAGAGACGTGTATGGAACAGAAGTGATGGACAGGACTGTTCCTTCTCGGAGCACGGCGCCACAGGACTGGAAAGACCAGTGAACCAACTGGGTGGCTCCTGTCCCTCCCCAGGATGGTGCACTTGGTGGGAAGCACTTTGCAGTTCTGCTGGGAGGTTTCACTAGGGGCTTCATTAGGTGCTTTTTCAATGCTATTGAATTCTGTTTTTAAAAGGTGAGGGGGTTTAGTGTCTCCTAAAACTTGAGGCCCAATTAATAATCTCAGCACAAAAGGCAATTAGATACAACTTTAAAAAGAGATTTGGCAGGAATAGCATGTTTGGAAGAAGCATAAATATAGTTAGTCAGGGTCTTCAGGCTACTGAAAATGTCTGCATTCCAGAAAAGACGAAATAAAATAACTCACCATTCATTATGGTTGCAAGTTCATTGACAGAGTGGGTTCTCTTGGTGCTATGGAGGAAGCAGCAGTGACTGGAGGTCAGCAAGGCAACCAGCCCTGAAGCCACCCCTGAAATAGGGCAGAGGCACAGGTGGTGAGAATCTGGAGCTGTGGCAGTGTGCTGGACTGTCACCTCTGGTGACACAGTGGGACACACTGTCATACCTAGTCATTCATTCAGAACCAAAAAAAAAACAACCCACAAAAAAGGATTTCATGCACTCACAGGTACCAACATCCCAGCAAGGATTATCAGAGCTGGGATTAAAACTTAAAACAGTGAATACAACATTGAGTCTGAGACTTCAAAAGTATCTTGATAGACTGGGCTCATTCCTGATAGATCATCTCCCTTCCCCCATTTTGACCTACTAAAAACCCCCAGACTGCTCCAAAGAGTAAAGATGTTGGATTTTCCTCCCCTGTACAGGCTACTGTTAAAATTTTATCATCTGCTTAGACTCAAAATTCTGTGCCCAGCAAATATTCCAGATAGACAGGTCTTTCTAGACCACGTGCTAAAGAGCAGCAGGTTTCTACCTTGACTCCTCTCACATTTCTTTCACAAATAATATTTTCATTACAAAAATCCCAGTCAGAAAGGATTACAATTTTAAAATCTGAGATGTTTAATTGTAAAAGCTGCTTAAATATCCACCCTTTTTAATTGTTGCTTCATCAGCACAGGCACATAAAAAAGATCACTGAAGTCTTGGCAAGATTTCAGGAAAAAAAAACCCAACAAAACGACAGGCTGGATAAAAAAAGGAAAGGTTTTGAAACATTCAACATTCCTTTCACTTCAGTTAGTTGTATTTGCTCCATCTCTCTGCCCACAGAGGAGAGACACAAGTCCCCACAGAAAGAAAACCTTCCTAGAAAGTTACTTCAAGCACTTAAAAGAAACAAGTGTGGCTGCCTGTGTTGATGTAAACATGGAAAATTACTACTGCTGGTTTGATTTGAGCCAAACCAATGAAAAAAAAATGAAACACAGGAATGATTTAGAACATGGATTTTGCTCATGCATGAAAGTCATCGTGCTCAAGATGAGTGTAGAACTTCCTGGTAGCTTGGAAAAGCTGTGTGTAAATAAACCCAATCAGAAATCCTTGACTCTGAAAGAAGGACTTTGGCAGTAGCAAAACACCCAACCAAAAAAGAAAAAGTCCTGTAAAAAATTATGTGCAAGGATTTTTTCAGTGTAATAAGCAAATCTGTCCACTTTTAGTTACTGCTGTTTAATACTCCCTAACAGCTTTCCTTTTTGCCACTAGAGAGATGAAAATGTTGCAATAGGTAACTACAAGTTTTCTCCTACCTTGGAAAAGAGTCCATTTTATTTCCTTATCTTGGTATAGCATCTTACTCTCCCTGTTTCTTTGCACACCTCCAATATGCATGGTTTTTAAAGACCGTTTCCTCCCTTTCTGTAAATTAAGGCCTCATTTCTCCCTACTGTAAAGTTTTGGGGTTTGGTTGGGGTTGGTTGGTTGGGGTTTGTTGTTTTTTTTTTGTTGGTTTTTTTGCTTTGTCAGTTATCTACGGTATGAAGTTGCTATGCACAGAGCTTTTGTAAAGATAGCTTTTTGTTTGTTTGTTTACTGTTTTTATTGGTCCTACTTATGGAAGAATATCTTGTTTGTAAAATGAATATGTCTACTTCAGTTTTAAACTTTAAATTATCCTAACAAAAAAAAAAATAAATTTTTTGTACTGTAAAAAAGGGGGGGAATGAGCTTAATTTCAGAGTATTCAATGTGCTTTTCTTCTTTATCATTTTGATGGGTCACTCAAGCTACTGTTGGAGCAATAATACTGATTTTAAAAAGTGTAATTACATGCTAAGTGATATTTTGTCAACTCAAAGGTTCACATTCCTCAGGAGGAGTCAGACACACTGGCTGCCAGTGCCCAGGGCAGGCATGTGCAAGATGAATTTCTGCTCCCTTTGTAAGAACATTGATCAATGAGGTAAATTACCTTTATTTTATCAAAAAAGAAAACCAGAACAGAGCACTAAAAAGTGTTTCTGAAAATGGTAATTGACTATCAAAACCAGGAATACTCTCTTTTCGTGAATGAAATGTTTTTGGATGATGAAAGCCACTTTTCCTGATGTTTTCCAACTAACAGAAGACAGAATATGAGTCAGTGTTTAAACTGCTGCCAGATGTCAGTGAAGGCATCTGAAAACATGAGGTACTATCAACCAAAAGCTGAAAAGAAAACGGGGGTTTTTTTGTCATCTGCTTTAATTACTCATTCAGGGATAACATGCAATTAGTAGATGACCTTCCCAGCAATGAAACCTAAGTTGTCCACTGTCCTACTGCAATACCCTCCATCTCAGCTCACCCAGAGGCCCATTCAGCTGGCTCTCTTCCCCCTAAGAAGTCCCAGCAGTTTATTGTGTATTAAGTGACAAGTTTAGTGATAAAACTAACAGTTACTTTGAAAGAGATTCTTGGTCTTAAACAGTGACTACTGTTACAGTCAAGTGAGGAAGTTTATCATGCAGATCTACTGTGTTCCACTGCTGATCTGTTACCTCTTTTAAGGACTTGATGATGTACAACTCCAGCATGTGCCTGTGATAGGTTATCATTCCCACCTTCAGAGCTCCCCTGTAGTCTGAGCTGATTCTAAATAAAATGCTGAGTGAGGGAAGGAGATGCCTGAAGCACCCAGCAAGGAGTTGCAGAAAAATATTAACAGCTGAATTCCAAGAAGCATCCAAAAAGTCCCTCCAGCCCAGAGAAGGCATGATTAAAGGCTCTGCACCAAAAGGGGATCTCTTGGAAAAACCAAAAAACCTCCAGGATCAGTTACAGTGTCACACAGAACCTATTTCATTATCAGTCTTGCTCAATTCTTGAAATCCAGTGTGAAAAGATTTTTCTTGGCCCACATTCAGCCTAGTAAAGACTAGAAATCTGCAACCTTCTTAAATCCTTAATTCACCAAGAGTTACACAAGATGTAACTCTTCTTCCTTCCTTTGTAAGATTGCTGCCATGCTCTGGGAAGAGTGTCATTTGTCACAGCAAACATGGATGAGAAGGTCATAGATGTCCTTTCCAAA